CCAAGCAAGAACTTCCTTCGGCAAGTTGTCAGTAAACAATACTGTTGTGCTGCCATCAATGACTCAACCACAGCTCTACGTTGACTTTCCTGGCAATTAGCAGCCAAAAAACCATGAGGGCAGTGAAATGGATTCAAACACAAGCTTAACAGCAAAAACATGCCAAAAAGAAAGCCACTTTCAAATGAAATTAACCAACAAATTCAGTTACATAACTTGCTCATGTATTGCATTAAAGAAAATTTGGGAAAATATTAAAGAAAATCTTCGAAACATATTTAGTGACCTCCTACAAGAGAAATGACAGAAACACTTACTGTTTGTAACTCTCCAACATAAAAGTCAGATTTTGCAAAGTCACTTCTAGTGTAATAAAGCCAGCAAACAGACGCCACACCATCTCTGCCGCAGCGTCCACTTTCCTGGTAATAGGACTCCAAACTCTTTGGGCACCCATAATGTATCACTTGCCTTATGTTTGGCTTATCAATACCCATGCCAAAAGCCATTGTAGCAACCATGACATCTAATTCATCTCTTATAAATAATCTGATGAAAATGAATAAGAAGCGTACTCAGGTTAATAAGCATCATGTCAAGTCTGCTGCAATACAAGGTTAAGAAAGGGAAGGGTGCTATAGTCAACAATTACACTAATAGCACATGGAGCAACTATAATTGCTACTCTAAATACACATGGAATATAAGTGATAACCTATGGGACTCTGCACGAGCCTTACTGTCCATTTGACCATGATAGATTCCAGCCTTAATATCTAGCTCCTTGAGTGACTTGAATACCTAGTGAAGATAAGGTGATGAAAAACATTATAGGATTTATAAACCAATTCTTTAACAAATTACATTCATGCATAAAAGAAGACATTGATATAACTTACCAGAAACATGATACATTATGAACTATAAGTAACATAGATATAGTACATGCATAAAGATAAGTATGTCAATAGGTGGTAATCATTTAACTATAAAATGTCAGGACAATGAAACATGGCTGAGTTGGTAAGAATTTATCATATTTTAGATTTCATACTTAAAATTCGAAATTAAGTTTATGATATAGAGCCTTCTTATAATGAAACTTCACACATTTTAAAATTTTGATCTATTAATAGGAAGATATTAAGAAAACCCTCCTTAAAATCTTTTAGTTAACCATGAATCTAACTTGATTTCATGCGTTAGGAACACCTGGTAGGTTATATGTGCCATCCCATGTTATACTTGGATAGTTGGACCAAATAACATTGCTTCAAAAAGGGACTTGGAAAACTTTGAAGTGTCCATGTTGCGTAAGGTCTACCAAAAGAGGCATCCCTGACTTAGCTAGATAATTAGAATGAGTCTCCAGTTCAACCGAACTAACTGAACTAAGCTTTGTCCTAAATAGTAACATCATCCTGACTTGGTTTCTGGAAATCATTAAACAAAACACTGTAAACTAAATTGAATTCATGCTCAATACATCAAAATATGGAAATGTCAGTTAAGTATTATATTTTTCTTTTTCAGTCCTAAGTTTCTTGGATAATTGACAATTAACCATTCTTGGGGACCATTTCAGGATACACTTATCCCGTACACACATCAAGTATAATATAAAGCAGATAAAGAACATACCTGCTCAACATCTTTAATTGTTGTGCAGTAAATGATGGTTGAACCATCTCTGCGTACAAATTTTGAAACTTCTTGCACTAGCTCATGAACAAATGATTGACCACGATTGAATGACTTGACACCATAAAACAGATTTGGACGATCAAATGAGCCTATGGTAACGTATGGGTTTTGCATCTTCAAGGAATTAGCAATGTCCATTCGAACCCTGGAATAGTTAAAACCAGAGAAGATGAACCATTGTAGTCTTCCTAACAGAAAAGCCTTAAAAGCAAACTAATGTCAATAGTGAAGAGAATCCAGGTGCAGGATTATTAAAGTTTTCACCAATTGGAAAGAGAGTATAGTCAAATATATATTATGCTACAAAAGATCATGAGAGTAAGGGCCAAGTAACAAAAAAAATTCAACTGCCATTATTCCCTAGGCTCTAGTAAATTGCAAAAACGTCATAAGAGACTAGTTCACTTCCTAGTTCATACATTTGTTCTGCTAACTTATGAAGTTCCCAGGGTCAGCAGAATTAAAGGAACAAGAAGGAGACCAAGAAAAGAAGGCACAGATTTCTGTTATGATATTTATGGTACCTAAAGCAGATAATACAAACTTGCTACGGCAATAGTGTGTTGTAAGTTTTATTGCTTGAATTCTGAGGATGTTAAGCAAAATGAAGCAATACTCGAATCAAAAAGCAAGAGTTGATAAGAACATTAGAAGCCCAGAGAGAGAGAGAGAGAGAGAGAGAGAGAAACCTACTTTTCAGTAGCAGTCGCAGTTAAGGCAATAAATGGAACATCAACAAGAATGCCACGTAACTTGTCTAATTTCTTGTATTCCACCCTGTAGAGCCACAAAGAGAAATCCTCCGAAGATGATTATTACAAGGAACAAATATAGGAAAAAGAAACAATAAACATTATACTAGGTAAGAGCAAAAGTGCACGGAATTCAGGTAAATGATCAATAAGTGGAGAGCATTATTATTTGTAGTTTGTACCAAGTTCACAAGAAATTCAGGTAAATGATTAATCAGTAGAGAGAGAGCTATTTGAATATATTATAGAGATGGCAACCTGGCACTAAAGGCTCAATAACATTAAGGAAATTGTAGGCATAAAATAAATCATTACAAGGAACAAAGTCAACACATGAACCTCTAGGAGATGAGCAAAAAGACAATTTTTTCAAGGCATGCATTAAAATAGTAAGTTGGGAACAAGAAACTAGCCTAGTGCAAGCACCCAAAAGACCAGGCAACTTCAGCTGAAAACTGACATAGGATCAGAATAGGGAACTAAATTTGTTGATCTCAATCCCATTCCTAGCAAGACAGGTTGCAGGATTAGATCACAAGGATGACCATGTAGTCAAATAACTGAGACTGATACCAAAACAAGTTTCACAGGCCAGAGGCCCAAAGTTCATAAACTAAGTCTACAAAAATCAAGCTATTAAGATTTACTATAGAAAGAAGCAATAAAATTCAAACCTGAAATCATGGCCCCACTCCGATATGCAATGTGCTTCATCAACAGCAAACAAACAGATTCCAACACTAAGCAATTTTGACCAGAAACTGCAAAGAAGACATAAGATTCAGGATACCAATTTCTGTAAGAAAACACATGCTAGAATATAACATTGACGTCGTAATGTCCACTATAATGCTTCCGAGTGTCAATAAAAATCTTGATAATGGAAAAACTATAAAGTTTTCATCCAAAATCATACATACACACATGGGAAGAAATTTCAAACTGGTAAACGGCAAGTAATAAAAGTAGTAAAGTACCTGGCAGGAATCAAACATGCCTTTTCTGGGGTCATGTACAAAATATCAAATTGACCACTTTCAGCTCTGTTCTGGACAGTGGAATCTGTTTGACTACTTCCCATAAACTCAGCTCTGATTCCTCGTTGTTTCAAAGACATTACCTTGAAACAAAAATTTAAAAAAGTTTAACAAGATTATTGAGCACTAATCAACAACAACAACAACAACAACAACAAAAGCAACAAGCTTAGTTCACCTGATCTTGCATTAAGGATATAAGAGGGCTTACAACCACACCAGTCTTTCCAACAACCAAAGGAGGCACTTGGTAGCTGTCAAAAATCAACCCAATAAATCAAACAGTTCTGAAAGCCTACTAAAACGATAGAGAAAAAGGAGAAGGCTTTACCACAAGGACTTGCCGCTTCCAGTGGCCATGACAATCAATGAGTCGTTTCCCTCTATGATTTTCTCTATCACGTCCTTTTGGTATGGCCGAAATGAAGAAAACCCAAAGTATTGCTATACCCAAAAAACAAAAATTGAAAAACTACAAAATGACTAAAATTGAATTTTCCTTTTAAAGATTAAAAAAGGAAGAAGAAGATAAGCTCATCACCTTGAGAACGGCTTGCATGGACTGCATTTTTATCATTTTATCAGCTTTTCCGTTTGAGACGATTAGTGTAGTTCAGGACCAGGGAGAAAGAAATGCTTTTTGTGTTTTTGAGCTTTTTTATTTTTGGCGTTTGAGGTTTTGAGGGCATTAAATAGATAATATATATATAGCCTCAAAATTAATTGATTAAAGCAATTACCAGTACAGTACCTCCTTCTCCCGCCATTTATTTGAGGAAGAAATCGGTACCCGGGGCCCAAATAACCACGGAGATTGCCCAAGTTTTGATGATCCAAGCTCCATTTGGGCTTGCAACTAGGGGCCTAAGCCCCAATGTGACTATTTTCTTGTTTTTATCTTATTTATTTATTTAAGTTGTGGATCAATATCCTAAAAGAGAGATTAATATGCAAATGACCCACTAGTGTAGTTGTTTCAAGAAATTGCTTCTCAAGCAAGGTCTCGGGCTCGAGTCATAGCATTCGTGTAGTGTATATAAGTTTAGTATATTGTTGACCCTGTCAATACGAAAGGTCCTCAAAAAAGAAAAAAGAGATTAAAATGTGAATGATATTTTGATCATATGTTCTATCTTGGGTTCAGTTGGTGGCAAGTGGTAGGTGGACCTATTGATTAGGCCTATGTTTTAAAAAAATTGTGTATGTGACCGTAACACCACGTGAACTCAATGGAATCGTGAACCTTTGCTTACACTCCGCATATCCAAGGCTCAAGACATGAATTTATCATAACTCTGCAAAACAAGCAAAGTCAGCTCACCAGCTTCTGAGCCTAGAAGAGCAGCTATTACATAACCAGATTATGCAAATATTTATCTAACTTGGCAAAGTCTGAGCATAACGTAGCAAATTGTCTCACAAGAGAAAATTTCCACGCCAATTAAGACTTAACTAGCTACATAATGCATAACGTCAACCATTTTATCTCTTTTGGCAAACATAGAAATGATAAAGAAAACATAATTTCTCTAGCAATCAATGATAATATACGATTTTAAGTTAACACAACTAAACTATGATGCTTGGACTCTAATCCAGCTAAAACCATAGCAAACCATCCAATGCGCAAACCATAACTAAACTAGGTTGAAAATATCCAGTGAGAAATAAATTACATATTGCGCTGCAAGTAGGAACATCCACATTCTACAAGAACAACTTTCTGTATTCTTCAGCTTCTTGTGCCATTTCGTCAAGGCTTCTGTCCTTCCTGTCCTTGTCTAAATCAAGCTTTTGCTTTAATTCCTTCTCCTTTTCATCTAGCTATAATATTGATGAAATACAGAAAGTAAATACAGGAGTCCAAAATGTAGGAATTAGGAAGTGTTTGATAAGCAGTGAAATAAATGTCGAATCTTACTGCATCGTAAATTTCATCATTCTCCTCAAAGTCGCCACCTTTCCGTGGGATGATGTGGATATGAACATGGGGCACAGTCTGTCCAGCTTGGGGTCCATCCTACAGTTCAAACAATGATGATGGAGTTGGCTTTAGGGGACACACAAGCTTGAATATATGAAAGAGAACAAACCTAAAAGCTTGTAGGAAGTTTTGAAGTACGATCACAATGAGATTTTACATAGGATATCTTGTGGTTTAATCAACAAGTACCCTTAGATTAAGGAATAGCTTAGTAACAATAACACATTAAAACATTTAAATGATCCCATCCCTTAAGATCTCAATGGAAAAATAACCGAAAACCTGGCCAAACAGATAAACATTGACATCAATCGGAAAAAATTAAAGGTCTTCCATGCTTACTTGAATTGTAAGTGTGAGAGACGATGCTTTGTGGTAGGTCTCAAGCCGACTACCAACCTTTTGCGCTGCGATCCAAAGATCACTGGTCTCATCAGTAGTGAGATCAACAAAGCGCTTCACTTCACGCCTTGGGCAGACAAGCACATGTACATGATGTTAAGTCTACACCAAAGTTGAAGAATCGACCATATTAAGATTATAGTTGTACAACAAAATGGGTATAATTTGTACACATAATTACATGCAAAAGAGGACTAATCAAAATGTTGGGCGGGTATATAGGCACGCAAGTGCAACAATATAAATACACATGATGCTTGGTCATCCTTCAGCCAAATAAGCAGATGAGATAAGCACACATATAGGTCCACGGAAAACTAGATACAGAGCTGTGGAACAGGCTCTGCCCAAATAAGCCATTCAATATCTTTTAATCAAAATGATGCACTTAGAAGCATGCCATTGAGTATTGCAACTAGCAGTCCACTATCGATTACATTTCAGTGCCAAGGAGAAACCATTTTGGACCCAAAACCAAGCCTGATAAAAAGACCCCTTTCTTTGAACTCATATCTTGAATTCACAAACATGATCCAATCAATCAAGAAGTTGGAACTCATATGTTGTCTTTTTTCAAGCAAGAAAAGGAACAAAAGAAATAAATTTCCCAACTTTTTTTCTTATACAATATTGCCTTGACTGATATCAAAACAACATTATAATTCAGACCAAAGAAAAGGATATGACCTGCAAAGGCAAAAATAGAAATGGATCATCAAGTGCCTAATTTCATATTTACTTTCATGTTTTAATATAGTGCAAGATAAAGATGAATACCAGGAACAACAGGACGCAAGTTGACCAGGGCATAGGATAGATGAGTAGAGTAAAACACTTCCCTGCTGTCAATCTTGTAAGGGCCGAACGTAAATTGCTCCAAAGCCATCTGTATCCATTTTGCAGCCAAACCCAAATCAAATTCAAAACACCAACAACAACAAAACAAAAAAAACAAGGCATAGTTGAAATTGGTCTTACCTTGGTGGAGGTGGCGAAGAAGGAAGGATCAGGGATGCCTCTGACTCTTGATGAACGTGTAATGAAACACCCAACAACACTGGAAGCCACAGTTGAGAGCAGCATTTGCGCTTGGAGTTGAGCTGATACTGATTCCTCTTTCTGGGTTTTGCTCCCTTGGGCCCTGTGTTTAATTTTCAGAACGTATGGGCCTCGATAAGCAGGTTCAAATCCAATGGGCTGGGCACGTGCCTCTCTCTTCTTTATAACACGTAGCCAGTTTAGTCTGGTTGCGGCTCGTCTGCAATGGGATTGCAATGCAGTTGCTTTGCTTCCTCCATAAGCACATGGAGCATGACATCTCTAATATCTGCCCTGCCTTCCGTTGCCTCTTCTTCTTCATCTGGGTTAAGATTAAGATCGTCCAAAGTGGCTGTGCTGCGCTCTTTTACTGGCCTTGCTCCTCCTAAACCCCTTCTCCGCACTATTGCTTCACCAGGTAATTTCTCAACCTCCCTTCCCTTCTACTCTTATTGATATGGAAAATGGGAAATGTTTGTTTTGGGTTGTCTTTCTGTGAAGGTTCACCATAGTACCTTCATTTGGTTGTTCTTGCGGCTTTTGGGTTTTTTTATTACTTGCTTTTGCTGCTTCTTCAGTCCTCTAGTTGTTAAAACCCCGTTCCCTTAGCATCCTATCATTAGTTTTGATCTTTTGCTCTATTAACTTTGTTGGTACCGTAACTGACCGAGCAACTAGCTTGGCTAGATCATCCACATGCCATGCTTTGAGAGGTCATCACCTTAGCCAAAGAAGCATTACCACAAGTCACAACTCTAAGCAAAGTAAGAGGAGTCCCACATCGAAAAACTATAAGAAATAAAGACTCCCCCTCACCTATAAAAGAAGACCACTCTCCACTTGGAAAAGGATCTTAGGTCTAGACCCTTGGGCCTTGGACTCTCTCTTCTGGATCCCAGGACTGGGCTGGACATCTCACTTGTTGTCTTTATATTTGGGCCCAACCCCATGTACAAATGTAATCCTACATTATTAAGGGTGAACCACGTATATTTTGTCTTCTTTATATTTATCACTTGCTCATCGCTTGCCCAAATCTTCACACACATGCTAAAGGTCCTCACCTTCACCCATCAACCACCATTCCACCTAACCACCATTCCACCTACTCTCTAAGTTGACCTCCCAAGAAGAGCATCAACAGTTTGGCGCCGTCTGTGGGAATCGACACAAGAAGCTTCTGTCATTCTTCCCTTCCTTTGGTGCCCTTCGGCACCCTTTCCATCATCATATTTTAGCTTATCATTCGGCACCATACGTGCCGAAGCCAACATGGGATCTCAAGGCACCAATATGCCGAAGACATGTATTTGCTTAGGCAACCCACCTTTCATATACTTTGAGGAATTTCAGTTTGAAGGCTGCCGAATATTCCAATTCACCTACAATATTATTTTGCATGGCTTGCATAGCCAGGGACAAGCCACCATTTCAATCCAGAAGGAAGCCCACGTCTCAATTTCAAGAAAACACATTGACAACCAATTTGGAGGTTGCTGAATGCCTTGCTGTCACTTTGCATGGCCAAGGAGCAAACCATTGCTCCAATATGAAGGCTACCAACGTGCACTTTATCATAAGATAAGATTCCTATTCTTATATTGTATTATTTCAACATAGTTGCAAACATGCAATATTTAATAATTCATTAACAGAAGCTGTGGCTTAGGTGCTGAAGCCACTATAAACCCCTCTATTTGAAGACAAAATACGAGGATTAGATCGGCACCCAGTTTTCTAAGCTCATCTCCAATATTTAGCTTCAGCCAATGGCTTTCAAAAGCCATAGCAACCTTCAAAACTCTGCCCAGTACCATTCGGCAGTCCCAGATTGAAGCAAGATACCACACCCAACCACCAAATTTATCTAGACACCCAAAACAGAATGGTTCATCCCCAGCAAGGCCACCACTGGGACCAAATGCAAGGAAGAATAGGGGAGGACCGTGTCATGCCCATCGGCACCTCTCATCGACTGAGACAGAAGCCAATCTCTAGGTGTCTTCATAAAAAGTGGGAGCAAACATATTGACTGACGATTATGTTCTGCTATTGATAGTGGTTGCAGTATGTTCTGCTATTGATAGTGATATACAAAGTTTGCTTAATTTCTTCCTTTTTGGATAATTTTTGTTAAAGAACCAATGACAAAAGCTTGCACTTTATGAAATTGGCCAACAATGTGTGTCAAGTCAAGCCTATACAAAATGCAGACATAAATAGAACATTTGCCTACAGCCTAACTCTAAACCTTGCAATTAACAAATAAGTGGGGAATGGGATGGGAGGTTTCGAACCACACCTGCAACCAGAATTTTGAGCCAACATTGTATAGAAAGGCAACAATTCTTATCCACCTTTTGCCCTATTAGATTACTCATGAAATGCCAGCATCTGTATAACATTTATATGTGCTCAGTTTCAGCATTTTTGGTTCTTTCTCCTAGTTTTATGTGACGGTTTGATGGGACCTGTTTACAAGTGTTCCATTCTTCATCTTGATTTTTTTTTCTACGTTGTTGGCACCGAATTTAGCAGCTTTGAGCATTGTTTTACGACTATTGACAATGGCAGTCGAGTTTTTGCCATGAGACATGGGAGGCGAGTCCCCAAACTCCCCCTGACCAACGCCTGGGCACTGCTGCAAGACCTCACAACTCAGCTTCTTAGACACGGTCATATCAAAACTACTAGAGCCAGGGCAAGCGCAATGTGGAAGTACATTGATAAGATGATCACATTGGCAAAGGATGGAACTCTTCATAAAAGGAGGGAAGCTCTCGGATTTATCTACGAGAAGCAGATTGTGCATGCCTTGTTTGCAGAGGTTCCAGACAGATATGGGGAGAGGAATGGAGGGTATACAAGAATTGTTAGAACTCTGCCAACAAGGCAAGGGGATAATGCGCCTATGGCCTACATTGAGCTTGTCTAGCTTTTGGCTGCAAACAATCTCTCATGTATTGCCTTCCTCAGTGCAAATATAAGATGTCTAAAGCTTTTCATGCAAACAATCGCATAAATTGCTCTTTTGGATGCTTGCAGCTCTGTTCTATTTGTTGTGTCATCTTCAGATTTGTCTTTCCGCTCCACCTGGCATTTTTTTACTGTAATTGGTGCTCTGCCTGATGCATTTTCTTCCCTCTTGTGGCCACGGATACACATAATCTGCTTGTTCTTTGTGTCAGAATTTGAAGAAATCACAATGCTTGAATATGCCTGTAGGGGACATTTTCTTCCTGCAGTTAATGGGCTGAGCTGCTGCAGAAGGCAGACTAAGGAGATTGCCCTTTTTTTTTTTAGGTTCGAAAATTAAGCCCCAAAATACCTCGAAAGGGCAGCAAAACCTTAGGAGATATTTAGGATAATCTTCACCAACGAGGATAATGGTGACTTGCAGATAGTTTTGGCATGCTTACAGATGGTCTTTTTAGCTCAGCATGAGTGGCATGTGGCATGGGAGCAAAACCAACATGAGTTTAGCATTAAGAGAGAGATTACGCTTGGTTTATGAGAAAAGAAAGTGTTTAAGTAAGGAATGAGGTGTTTTGTGAGGAATTTGACTAGGAAAAAAGGAAAAAGAAAGGCAGAGTTCTTCTGGCAGTTGCCAGAAAAACAAATTGGAGAAGAAGATGAACAGTGCACGAGTTTGTTGAGTTTTTGCAAGTTAGAGAGAAAGCTTGCTCTCTGCAAGTTGTGGGGTTTTTTTTTTTGTTGGGTAGGGGAAGGCTCAATTTATACTCAATTTATCGCTGCTGAAATCACCATTCTTCAAGAAACCCTAATGGCTTCTGCTTATTTTGGCTAAGTTTTTTCTTCCTTTCTCCTCCTCTTCTCTGACTTCCCTTTCTTGGCAAAGATTGCTTCTGTCTATTTACATGAATTCAGGGGATTTGGGGGCTTAACATCCTCCTTTCCTGCAGCTGTGCAGTGGGAGCTTCCACTCTTGGTTTGCTGTTTTTTCTTCTTTCCTTTCCTCTGTTTTAACCAAATCTGATGAAGGAAAGGAAGTGAAGATGCATACTGGTCCAAGGGATGCTTCTTACAGCATGCGGGATAGTACTCATCAATTCTTTGGATGTCTCTGGCTTGGGACTTGTTTCCAGTAGCTTTTCTTAAGGAGTCTGTCAACCTCTCTTCACGTGTCCTCTGTTTTCTTTAAACAAAAGCTGAGGTTTTTGTGGACTATTTTAGGATTTTTATATAGGCCAAGGTGATTTTCTAAGCAAAGGGTTTTTATTAAACATTGGGCTTCTTAGTTTGGGCTTTATTTTGGTTGGATTGTTTTGCTTGGGTATTTGGCTATTTTTTATTCTCTTGTGCTTACCCATATGTTTGGGCCTAAGAAATGGGCTTGAGCCTCGAGGCTCCCAAATAACCCGAGACTTTTCATTTCCCGGCCCATCAATGGGCCTCATGTTGATTTATTGCCATCCATGCCACAACTCACTCAAGCAAGCCCCGGTTTTTGAGTGGCTTGGGCCCACTTAGGCTTGTGACGTGATTGGGTGTGCGATAATGATTTTGCGCTTGGCAGGGCACATTGCTTGGCATGTTTTAATTCATCGTCATGTGATGCTTATTTTTGCATGGGCCTGTAAACATGGTATATTTTATCTCAACCCCGAGCAAATTTATTTATTTAGCGTGGCACGTGCATTGTAATTCGCATGTGATAGGTTTCGGTGCACTCTGCTTTACGCTTTTTCCTAATGGATCGTCGTTTTGGACTGATAATTTATTCGGACCCAACCATGTATTTTTTTGGGTCTCAACAATGACAAAATGGATGTCCTACTTGCACCATCTCAGCCATCTGGATGGACCATGATGTTCAAATCCACAATTAGTTGGTTTTTTGAACTCAATATACAAAGAGAAAACACATAACATAATTGAATCTGCACACAGGGTAACACCCTTAACGCAGCAGGTAGTTTTGTCGATCATGGCTCCAGCGTGCAATTACAAACCAGTCATGAACTTTTAGGTTGTCAAATTGTTGTTAACTGGTTGATAGATACAGGCTTAAAACCATTACTGTAAGCGGGTTGCTTCTTTTTTTTTCTTTTTCTTTTTGGCATAGTAAGCGGGTTGCTTGGGTTGGTTGGTAATGGAGCTTTATTAAAGGAGAAGAAAGTGTGAAACTACCCTTCTCATTTTTCGTTTGGCCTGAACTAACAAACAACCCTTTTTTGGTGAAATAGGGGGGAAACCCCAGAAAATAACTAAACACCGCTCATGAGTTCAGGCCTAGTAAGATCAGGCAAGTCATCCACCAACAGAGAGAGCTAACCCATACTTTTCATCTTTTCTTTGTTGTTAAGATTGATCTGAGAGTCTGAAGGCATATATTTATTGTTCTTGCAATCAAAACCAAGTGAATTAAGGGAAGCAAAATAGAAGAGTAAGAGACAAGGATGCAATAAAAAGACAATCCAACTATAAAAATATGATGACAATTTTTTTTTTTCTCTTGATGGGAAAATTTTAAAAAGTTTGAATGTGACAGCAAGGCAACATAAAGTGAAAACACATAAAAAGCCAGGGGAAAAAATATAAATATAATATACATGTTTTTTGTATAATGAAAAGATAAATGTAGATAACACTAGATAAGGTTTTGGCTCTGTTTATTATATCGGAGGAGACACAGGGAAGAAGAAGAAGAAGAAGAAGGAGAAATGTCAGGCGTGGCAACTCTTGGTCAGGCATGCTGGGCTGCTGCCGGCGTAAAGGTGAAGAAGGCAAAGACCGCCATTTCCCAAGCCCAAATTCAAAACCCAAAACCCAAATCTTTAGCTCTTCCCTTGTCAGCTAATTGCAGCCGCAACCTCTTCTCCTTCAGCCCCAAAGCCATCACCAAACCCTCCTCCTCCTCATCCGTCCGTACATCTGTCGCCGCCGTAGACTCCGATCAGCTCAGCTCCTCCGATTCCGCCGAAAAGGTTCAGTCTTTCATATGAATTCAACTTTTAATTTAATGGGTTTTGATTTCTCATCCAAGAAGGCAAGAACCTGTTTTGAATTTTGGGTTTTCATCTTTTTTCTCAATGCAGCAAAAGGCGAGCAGGTACTATTTCGTTGTTGCGAATGCCAAGTTCATGCTGGACGAGGAGGAGCATTTCCAGGAGCAATTGTGTGAGCGGCTTCGCTACTATGGAGAGCGTAACAGAGAGCAGGACTTTTGGCTTGTGATCGAGCCCAAGTTCTTGGATAAGTTTCCCAACATTACTAAGAGATTAGGAAGACCTGCTGTGGCTCTGGTTTCGACCAATGGACCTTGGATTACGTAAGCACCCGCCACCATTGTCTACTGAGCTTTGCTTGTTTTCAGTTTGGTGTTTTGTTTGCCTGCAACCTCTTGCACTTCATATGCAAGTTCATTTAGATAGCCATTGTTGCAAGCTAAACATATTTGTTACTTTAATTGGTGATGTAGTAGAATCACTGGCTGAACCAAATCAATTGTGCAAGTAACTTTATTATAAGAAGTTGGCTTGATCTCTACCATAGAACTCATTGTTAGACAACCATTAGAATCCGAAAGCTTAATCTGTTAGAGGAACGGTATATCAAGCTGACAACGTGTTCGTGTAGAGCCCCATTCTACACGTGCGGAGGTAGACAAAGATAAGCATAAATGAGCAAATGGGGAATAGAGATTAGAGGTTTTGACCACAATGTTATCAAGCTAAGCCCCAATAGTTTAAGCTGTTAGAGAAATGGAGTAACAATGTCATCAAGCTAACACCTTGACTTATGATAAGTATGACTTTGTACATGATTTAAGTCTATTGTTTCATAGTTAAATATGCGAGTATAGCTCAAGAAATTACAGAATATGATGTTGGTGATATAAGAAAAATCTTCATGTGGTTGTACATTAGTAGAAATATGAAAGTTGTGACTCTTACAAGGGATAATAATAATATCCCTCTTTATCATCCAGACACATCAACTGATAATGTTGTATGGCTGCAGGTTTATGAAGCTGAGACTGGACAGAGTGCTAGCAGAAAGTTTTGAAGCTGAGAGTCTAGAAGAGGCATTGGCCTCCACTCCAACCAATATTGAGTTTGAGAAACCGGAGAAATGGGTAGCACCTTATTCCAAGTACGAATCTGGGTGGTGGGGGCCCTTCTTGCCGCCAGGATCGAACGAGGAGGTCAAAGTGTAAATCACTTTTTTTTCTTTTTTTTTGCCTTGCTCTTTCAATCTTATCAACATGGTTTTGTCATCTATTACTAACTGGAGTGGAAGTTGATGCATGTAGCTAATGAGTAGTTTTGGGTGGTTAGCACCTCAGCTAATAAATCTTAGTAGTTGCTATGAATGCGTGTGAAGAGAGGTTCAAAATCAGGAAACTAACTTTGTCTATGTCCACAAAAACAGATATGTAACAGTTTAGATGAAGTTGTATCTGTCCAAAAAGGAGGAAGTAGCCTTGTTTTGAAGTTTGCATCAGAAACCAAAATTGGAACAATACATTTTCTCTCATATAACAAGGATGATGAATGATTACTTACTCCTCAAGGAAAACTAAACAAGGCTACTAGCAAAACAGATAGAAAGCAGCATATATACTTTCCTTTCTACATCTTTATTTTGCAGATTTGATCAGACAAATAAAATAAAATTAACTGACGGAACAAAACGAGCAAGAACGACATATGAACTGTACCGACTATACGAAGAGGAAAGGTCCAGCAGAACCTCAAATAATTATTGTTGCTTCCCATTCTTGGAAGAAATTACACTCTTTTTGAGTTTTTGGATAACTTTTTCATCCAACACTGCGTACTGCTTGTTTATTGCAATTAGTGCTTTCTCTGCAAAGGAGTCAACGCTATCCTCCAGGTTGTCATACAGCGCTGGCACTATCATCAGTATCACAAACACTGCACAACCAAGAAGAAAGATTCAGCACTCATCTCTGCTAACATACTAAGCAAACTAAAAATAAACCGTTG